CAAGACATACAGTAACCATACACTTATATATACCGATGCCTCTAAAACTATAGATGGAGTGGGAGCAGCATTTATGTCTAATAAAACAAAAATATTAATGAAACTCCCTAAATTAACATCCATTTACACAGCCGAATTAACTGCTATTCTCAATGCAATAAATTTTGTGGTAGAAAATAGTATCAAAAACCCTGTCATTATTACGGATTCCCTAAGTTCTGTAATTGCCCTAAATAACTTATATCCTAGTCATCCAAGTCTACTACTTATTAAATCAGCATTAAGCCAACTGCAAACTATGAACATAAATGTCAACTTTGTATGGATTCCTTCCCATATTGGAATTGCTGGTAACGAAGAAGTAGATTCCTTGGCAAAACTAGCAATCTCGAGTCCGGAAGCTGTAGATATCAGAAGCATTCCACATCTAGATATAAAACCTGTAATCAAGAACTTAATAATCAATGATTGGCAGACCAAGTGGAATCAATCAACATCCAAACTACGAGAAGTAAAATATTCCATATTACCTTGGAAATCAACCCCAAATAAGCGTAAACATCAAACCATCCTATCTCGTCTGAGAATAGGCCACACCGCCATCACCCATAAACATCTGCTAGAGAGTGAATTAAAACCAAAGTGCAACATATGTGATATTGTGCTCAGTGTTCGCCATATTTTACTGGAGTGTCCTTTATATCGCATGGAGAGACTTCAATATAAATTACAAGATACCTTACAGGCAATATTAAGTGACGAACTGATATGAAAAATTTGACATCATACTTACATTCCATAAATGTACTAAATAAACTGTAAAACTCTAAATTGTACAACGCCAATGACCCTATGAGGTTGAGGCATAAATAAATAAAAAAAAAAAAAAAAAAAAATCCATATTTGTTAGTTCTTCTTGCATCGTAAATAAAATTTTAAATATACGGGTCATATTAATACATAATCAACCTGTTCAGTTATATTGTACTCATTTCATAATTGATGACCTTGCTTACCATGCAACTATATCAAATATCTAATAGTAGGTCGGCTATAAAATTAACCTAATGTCGTAATGTAATGTTTATACTAGAATACTGCGTTTTGTTATCATAATAAAATATTATGAGTACGGTTTTCTGTGATTTCGTATCTTTTTGCAAAGTAACATTTTCTTTGTATATATGGGTCTTTTCCGAAAAAAATAAAAATATCTGCATATTTTGCAATTTTCTATGGGCCTTTTTTCTTCAAATATTGATGGTTTTTATTGTGCTTAATATTTGTTCGACTTTTTTCTCTTTTGTTTTGTTCCTTCCATATAAAATATTTAAAATTTTCCTGGTTATCTATCTTCTAATTTATATTTCTCGATTATTTACATTTATGATTCCTATAGGTAACACAATCTTAATCGGTTTATCTATTAATTCTTCTGTAAATTCCTTCCCAAATTCTGGTTTCTATATTACTGTAACTGTTTCTTCTGTATTTTGTATTTTGTATCGGTTCGATCTCGAAATTAATTTCGCCTAATATGTACTAATATTGACATATATTTTCAAAATAATCTGTTCTTCATTTTTCCGCATGTGTGCGTACTTATTTTATTTAATATCTTTTCTTCTCTTGCATATAAATACACTAATTGTATATATTATATTCATTATTTATATTTATTCATACTATATTCATCCTCTACGATTTTGGTACTTCGCATATGTATATTTCTACATTTTTCAATATCTTATTTTCTTTTTCCTATTATATCTCTATATCTTATTGCTCATTTTCCTAACCATTTGATTTTGTTTTTGACCCGAATACTCAGTCTTGGTGAGACTCGGTTTGCTCCAAAAGACAAAATTGGTAGTCTATGCGCCTCCATATTATTTAGTACCTCTCTTACTGTTTGCTTGTGGGTTTTATGTTGTAATATAATTTCCTCTAAGTTCTTTATTGTGGCAAACTTCTTTTTCAATAATTTTCCATTTACTTCATTAAAAAAAATCATAATTCAAATTTGTTTTTCCATTTTAATCCATTATGTAGTTACTGCATTGTTGTGCTGGAGCCGCAGGACTCTTAGCGGGTTGGGATTCAAGTACCACCCTAGCTTATCCTCTTAGCAGCCTCCTGCTCGACGTAGATTCCAACCATTAAGGTCGAACCATATCCAGTTTGTCTACATTTCTGTTAAAAAAAATCTTCTTCTGTCACTGTATTCGTATTCGCATGCGGTGCGTAATATGCTCTCGCTGTGCCTCTATTTCTGTGGCATCTCACCTGTGTCCATTGATTATTATTTCTTCTTCGTTGTGATTGCCAATCTCCTCTGTTTCTATTACGATATATCCTCGTATCATGTCTTTCATATTCACTTATATTTCTATAATTTTTGTTTCTATATTCTTTTCTTTCTTCGAATTTATTTTTATAATATCCATATATTGCATTCTTACTTTCTTTTCTCATATCAAAATCGTATTTCTTCCTGTAATTTAACACTCTTCCTTGTGTGCTATCTTCTGTCTCGTCGATCGATAAAAATTTGTACATTACCTCTTGTGGGGTTGTAAAGTTGCCTGCCTCTAATATTATCTTGACTTTGTCTGTGCTGGCATTACGTTTCATTGTAGCTACTACTGCCTCTGTTGTGTATTTTGTCGCTAGTTCCAATGGCATTCCTTCCTCTACGTATGCAACTTTTAGCTGTTCCGCTAATTCTTCAACTTCAGATGCATAGACCTCTGCATCTTTATGTCCTTGTCTTTTCTTCGCCAATTTAGCTATTATCGTCTTCGGACTGTCGCCTCTCAGTTCTCTCTTCAGTGCCTCTGCTATTCTTGCGATTGTATCTTCTGTAGTTATAACGTTTCTGGCCTTATTAGTTAATCTTGTCTTTATTAATGTTATTGCTGTTTCCTCGTGTCCTATCGCTATTTTCTCAAGTAGTTCTAGTGCATCTAAAAATGACTGCAGTTTACCTGCTCTTCCATCAAACGCGCTGGGTAACACCTTGCTTGCGATATTTAAGAATTCGTTGATTGTAAGAGCCATACTTATTTCTTGCTCTATGTCGCTATGTTCTTCCTTCTTTATAGGTTGTTTCTTTGTCATAGGTAAAGAAACTGGCTTGAAATCTTCTACATTTTGTGTATATTCTTTATCCGAAATTTCCATAATGTTATTATCATTTACAACTTTTCTCTCTCCTGTGAGTCCTTGTATTTGCAATGATTCGGCCGTTTCAATAAAGGTATTTAAATCTTCTTGTCTAATTTGTACTTCTCCATGGTATATAAATTGTAGTAAGTCTCTTAGTGCTTCGTAAGTCACGTTTGTCAAAATTACTATAGGATGTTGACAGGGATTTGACTTAAAAATTTCCTTAAAATATGGGCTACAAACCGAAAGAACCATTTTATGCGCTTTTATGCATTTTCCTTGTGCTGAAAGCGTTACGTCTACAAAATCTTGACTCTTCCATAATGAATTTATTCCTGTACTTATATTTTCGTGGAAATTGTTCCAACGCAATGAAAATTTTTCTGACGCCATGGTCAATTGTTTTAAAAGTTCTTCTAAATTATTTTCCTTCCTTATAAATGTAACAATAATTCTAAATATCCTAATTTAAATAGTAAAATAAAGTCATAATAAATTTCTTCGTGTATATTACTTAGAGAATTTGTCATCCAAGCAAATTTATATCGTATCGTATATCGTTATATCAAATATTTCCGATCTGTCGGTGTATTTTCATGGTCAAATATAAATATTCTTAAAAATATACCTTAAGCAAATAAAAATGTATGACACATTTGTTTCGTTAAAACAATATAAATAGTTATTTAGTGAAAACTTAAAATAAATATATACTCTACTTTCGAAGCAATAAAAATTGTATATTCAACATTCTGAACTAGTTAAATTCTTTATATTTCTAATAACTTTCTCAAGTAATAATTATTAATTTCAATTTGTTAGACTGTATTTATATATAAGGGATAAAAAATAAATTTACTTACATAATACATTTAATATATGGTCCTTATCACTTCACCTTTATCCATATTCCATTTATCCATTTTCCATTTACTGTCCATTGTCCTTAGCTGGAATGCTGTCGCGGGGCTCTCGGCTGGTCTGGTCCGGAATTTCCTTATCTGTTGATGCATTTTCCCATTTCGAAATGCCTTGGTTCCATATAACATCTAGTATGCTATTTTCCATCTAAACTTCCAGTGGGATTTTCTTCTCAACATCTCTGGATGAAGATTCCTGGTTTCTACCACTTCAGGATCGCCATGTAATAAGTAATGTTGTAGGGTGGTAAATAACTTGTTGTTGTACTTAGTTAACCATTTATTTATCACTACTGTACACTCTTTAATGTTACTTAATCTAAATATTTCAGTACTTAATTGACGCTGACTATATGCGGCATTAACTTGCCATTTTGACGGTACATTAATTAAGATCTCTGAGTGAATGATTGTTGGGGCTTTTATAGAAGTCCTTGCTATATCAGCAAAGGTTTACTTATTAGTATGTCAAGTGTGTTCATGACCTACGCCAAGCATGTGGTGATCGGCAATAGCGCTGATTTAACAATTCTAATTAGAGTATGTTATTTATGAATGTCCTTGATTCAAATTACTAAATATATTTATATAAACAGAATGTTAAATGTTACACGGGTATGAATTATAATATTTTATATGTGAATTCTAATATTTAGGGAATTACATCACAACCTGTAAGTTTAATTACAATGTTGCGATAGATTTAGTAAATATATTTCTTTCTATTTAAACTAGTCACTAATCAACAAAGGTTTTTTGTTTTCGTTGTTGATGTTAACATACACTTTACTAAAAACATACTGTAGTGCTAAATTAAACAGCTTAAGTTTGATGATGTATTTTAAATTTTGTTAGGGTGAAAATTTAGAAAAACAACAGCAAAAAAGTTCATCAGTCTACATCAAACATGGCATGCAATCACTCGGTAAAGTCCCAAATGCTCGTCGGGCCCCAGCAAATCTTCCATCTTTGAAAGCAGAACACAGCGGAACAGACGCAGCAGTACCATTAGTACCACCAGGAGCGCCAGGATGGGGAAAGCAAGATACATCAACCACTGGGACATCTCAATCACCCAACAGCAATCATCAGACAGTTGCACAATCTCAGGATTCGAATGTACCCCCACTGAATGCCCCCAATCAGACTGGAGTCTCTCCACAACTCAGCTCACATCAAGCTGCAATTGCCCTTCCAGTAACGAACACCATTCCCCCACAAACACACAAACAGGTAAAGCATAATTACTCATTAATATTACAACCAATAAATAAGGAATATCTTTTTAATCTTTTATAAAACTGATTTTTGCTTTATCCAGTTAACCCCTACTGCACAGCCTGCGCCTACAGACAAACTATGGAGTTCCGTCATGACAGGTCCAGAGTCTCATCCTCCCTTATATCAGAGTGTACAATTCCAACACGAATTCCCCAGCTTGTCATCTGGAGATGGCGCCCTCACACGCACTGGTTCCGATGCTCCCCAGTATCCTTCAGGGCTCAGTCTAAGACCCCAAACAGAAGGTAAGGATATCTTTATTGAGCTCAATTATAAATTTTCAACTATACACAAAGAAGTTTGAGACTTCATAAATGTTCTTCTAGTTGTGGAATGATTATATACTCTATAGGTTAAATTGTATTGAACTTACATTATTCATTTTAATAAAAAATTATTTCACCTCAAAGTGAATTTTCTCTGTATTTTGGAAATGCATTTTCCTTATGCATAAAATGTAATTTTCATTTTACCACTATGAATTTAGTTTACAACTTTCCTGACCCTTTCCAGAATAGAATGCAAAAAGTTGCACAAGAATCTTGCTGCAGAAAATTGGTAGGTTAAAGATCTTAACTTGTTTTATGATTTGTGCAGTTTAAACAAAGTATCTCTTAACATAAAAAAATGCCATAAAATTACATTTTCAAGGCAAAGAAGACCAACTCCATTTGTTTATTCTATAAATAACTTGCCATTGGCCTCTAAAACTGAAGTATCAGACTTGGGAATCTGGTTCAACCTCAAACTGTCAATCAAGTAATGAACAGGTGATGAAAGTACTGGGATTTCTCCAACGCACATCTGTCAACCTGTATGTGTTCACATTTAGAAGACTTAATTGTGGTCTCAGGCCCATTCTAGAGTGTGGGTAAGTTTTATGGGGACCACGGCTAAGAGGCGGTATGGATAAGAGACAGTATTGATTTAGAACACTTAAGTAAAGGATGACAGTGTTAGATTTATGTTTAGTGCACAAAGTCATTAATGCTATTATAGGTTGTTCTCAATTTTTATCAAGCATTTGTCTTAAAGTACCCAATAGAAACAACAGACAATCAAAAATCTTTTTAATGCCATTTCACCACACTAATTATGGTATCAATGAACCAACTACATAAGTGGTCAGAGTGTTAATAGCATGTCAAGTCAAATAAATATTTTTGACTCCAAAATTAGTTTATTCAAAAAAAAAACAACTGAAAAAACAACAAAAAGTTATCTTACAATAAGTGATCTCTTTTACATGTCAATACCAGTCTACCCTTGAGAGCTGCATTACAGTTTGCTATAGTTTATTGATCTTCCTGATCTACCACGCAAGTAAAGTTCTGCTAACTATAATTAACGAGAGATTCAAATCAATACTTCTACCACAGATCCCACAAGAACAGTGTGGATTTGTTCCTGGAAGAGGCACAGGAGAACAAATTATCAATTATAGAAAATCTAGAGAATTTAATCTAGAAACATATTTGTGCTTCGTCATTTACTCAAAGCGTTCGATTATGTAAAATGGCATAAAATCCCATATAGGGAAAGGGTATCCCTGAACATCTAATATACCTACTAAAACAACTGCATATCGACAACACAGCAAACGTAAGAGTCAACAACATATACTCCGATAATTTTAAAGACGGATGGCAAGGAGGAATATCAGTCGAAGGCCGAAAAATCAGCAACCTCTGCTATGCTGACAAAGCTTTAGTTCTAGCATCATCAACAAATATGACCTTGAATACATGAACACATGAACAGACTAGATACTATTAGTCGTGAATATGGACTTAAAATTATTGTACAGAAGACCAAGGTAATGATAATCAATAGAATTAGAAATAACCAGACGGAAATACGAAACGTATCGGGGTTTGAAGTGGTAAGCCATTTCAATTACTTAGCTTCTGTTATCACAAACAATGGTGGATTCAAAGAAGAGATACATCGACGCCTTACAATGGCCAGATCAGCAATGGTCAAACTTACTAAAATCTGGAAAGATACATACATAATCAGAACACGAAACTGTGTCTAGTACAGACGTTTATCTTTCCTATTGCTACCTATGCGTCAGAAACTTGGACCATTAAAAAGTCCGACTCACGACATATAATAATGGCCTTTGAAATGTGGGTATATTGTAGTATGTTGCACATACCCTGGACAGCACATCACACAAATGTCTCAATATTGACAGAACTCGACATCAATACTAGGCTTACCACAACCGTCAACCAAAATATATTGAGGTATTTTGGACACATTACCAGATGAATGGAAGGCATGGAAAGATGATCAGACCAAATAAAGTGCGCTACCGGTTACTGTCTGTCTAGGGCAGCACACCGCACCCAGGAAACAGGAGAATGGATAGCAACCATTCGTCAAATACCATAACGTTACCACATCCTTATGAAGGACAACAGATAGAGGAGGAGGACAGTTTATTATTCTGGGATGTTTGATATTTTAAAAATTTATTGTTTTTAAGGTATAGCTTTGTTTAAACTTTTGTAAACGGATTCCGTTAAATAAATAAATATCTAGGCATTTTGTCTATAATCTGACCTTTACATAACATCTCATATTTTCTTTTATTTCAATTTGGTGTCAGTTGTGTGGTGTAATCTCACCTGCGCAATCTCTGTTAAAGTGCCATTACATAGTAGCTTATGTTATGCTTTTTTTCTAGGCTCATGGACACAAGGAGGACAAAGAGCCATGGGCCCGCCAGGCGTTACAGGTGGAGACGCAGCCGGTCAAGGCAGACCTGGCTCGGCCCACCTGGGTCCCCCACCACAGCTTGCGGCCCAGGCAGGCCACCAACAGCAACCATTTCCGCCGCAAATACGTGGTGTGATGCCTCCTTTTGTAAGTTATTTTCAATAATATCTCTACTAATGTAGATTTTGACGAACCTTTTTTTCCTTTAGATGTACAAAGGTAGTAATTTCCAACCTGCATCTGGAATTGGTATTCAAAATCCTCAAACAATGCCGCAACCGAATAACGGGCGAGGTAATAGACAGGTAGATAACCGGCCACCTCGTTTAGCGGATCGAGAAGGAGACGAAGTTGCCCCTAGGCCCATTATCCGAGAAGAAGAGCTGAGTCGTATGGACGAAATTAGTAAGGACATGGGTTGGGCAGAATCAGACGAAATTGATTACAAGTAGGTTAATTTATAAGTTTTATAAGCATAATTATTTATCTATAAATTGCTTTTTCAGTCAGAAATTGGCATTCAGTGACGATGAAAGCGAAAAATCTTCCAAAAGGGAACACAAAAAAAGTGCACTGAATAGGGATCATAGAGACGATCGTGAAAGTCACAACGTCGATGGTCAAAATCGTCAGTGGAGTGGAGGCTCGAGGTCTAACGCTCCTAGAGGAAGAAACTCAGAAGATGAAGATATCTGGGTGCAGAGACGTACCCAGCAAGACAAAGAAGTGGAAATAGCCGTTCAAAGGGCGAAGCAGCGCAAAGAAGAGGAAGAAAAACGTTTTAACGAAGAAAGAAAACAAGCTGCTGCGAAAAAACTCATGGAACTGGAAGAAAAGATTCAGAAGCGTGACAGAGATAACCATGAAGGGGTTGGTACAATTAATCCGAATACAGTTCCCGCGAAACCTATTAATCATGTAGACATTCCCTTGCCAGACTTTCAGAAGGAGAAGGAACGCGACAGAGAGCCGCCTAGAGAGAAAGATTCCAGATCTCGCACTCCTAACGAGTCGTCTGATGAGAAGAATCAAGCTTCAAATCAAGGAAATTCCTTTAGACAGTTAACTCAAATTGAAGGGAAAAATTTTCCTCCTAGAAAGCAACAACATGCAAAACCAGAACGAGATAATCGGGATAATCGAGAGCAAAATGGGCCTAACTTTTCTCGACAATTCCAAAATGACCTTCCGCCTAGATTCCGCAATAACAGTAACTCAAACTTACAAAACCATCAACAATACCATCAGCAATCCTTCGATAACCGCTGGAGTTCCGGCAATTCCAGAACAAAATCGCAATCTAACAGTTCCCATGGCCCATTGCACAATCGTAATATAAGGCAAGATAGTCCAGAAATTGAAAAAGAAGATTTAGACAGAAAAGAATACAAACGACAAAGTTCTGATGACAGCTACCGCAGCTCACATCATTCTGAACAAGAAAGGGATTCTCAAGATTCTCGTTATCACCATTCAGATAATTCTGACAGTAGACATCAGGATTATGATATGCAGTACTCTCGGAGGGAACAGGAACACGATAAATGGCACAAAGAAAAGAATATTCAGGACAACAAAAAACAAGAAGACCAATCACATCGTTCGAGTAACGATGACTGGAGCGAGAGACCAGAGAAAGTTCGCGAAGAAAAAGTGGTTGATAAATACGAAAAAGAACGTGAAAGAGAAAGGGACCGTCCCCAAAGGCCAGATAGTCGGGATTCTCGCGATTCGCGCTCAACTCGCCATTCTAGAGATTCCGAACCACGTGATTACAACATGGGTTCGTGGTCAGAATCGATGTACGAACATCCCTACGAGGACAAAAGAAAAGATTACAGTAGAGAGGAACGACGTTCTGTTCCTGGTCCTATCACTAAAGATCGCATGGAAGCCGATGATATGCGAAACGAAAAAAGGAACTTGACGCAGCTGAAGCGCGGCCAACTGGTAGAAGTGAAATCAGAAATTAAAAAAGAGCTTCCCACAAAAGTTATTACGTTGAAATGTGAATTCTCTAGCGCATGGGCAGATGCTCAGATTCTTCCTCTTGCGCTGGATGAAAATGAATCTAAAATGACCGAAGACAAAAAACAGTCTGAGTCAAAAGTGGAGATTAAATCGCCAGAGCAGTCTAAGAAGTCTGATAAAACCGACGACTACAACCAAAACCGCAATAGATCGTATGGCCAAAAGAAAGGTTGGAACACGAACGATAATCATTCGTCACGAGGACCTCCCTGGCCGAGAAGACCCTCAAGTCGCGGTCAAAAGCCAGGAGGAAGAAACCAAGAATACCACACAGCAGATTCTGACGGCTCCCTCGAAGATCACTCCGGAAACTTAAAAGCAGACGACGGCAGAAAGGCTGACGCCACCAAGCTCGAAATAGGTGAACAAAGAAGTCCGAAACCTGCGAGAAAAAGTGAAAAGGATGAACGCAATCGAGAACACAAACA